ATGGAGGGAACCATAGCTCCAGCTGTATATATAGCAGAGGATGGCATTGTCAGGCATCAATGGGAGGTGAGGCTCTTGGTCCTGTGAAGGCTCAATGCCCCAGCGTTGGGGAGAGGTAGGAGTGGATGAGTGGGAAGGGGAACACCCTCATAGAAGCAGGGGGTAGTGGGGATGGGATAGGAGGTTTGCAAAGGGGAAAAAGAGAAAGGGGATAATACTTTAAATGTAAATAAAGATAATATCCAATTAAAAAATAAAAATAAAAAATCAAAGTCGCTGGGCAGTAGTGGCGTACGCCTTTAATCCCAGCACTTGGGAGGCAGAGGGAGGCAGATTTCTGAGTTCGAGGCCAGCCTGGTCTACAGAGTGAGTTCCAGGACAGCCAGGGCTACACAGAGAAACCCTGTCTCAAAAAACAAAAACAAACCAAAAAACAAAACAACAAACAACAACAACAACAAATCAAAAAAAAAAAAGAAAAGAAAAAAAAGAAAATGGTGAAAAGGGGGAACTCAACAAAAGGAGTTCATAAAGTTACAGAAATGAATTACCTTTCTCTAACTACAGTCTTAAAAAAAATTAACTCTATTAGCAGAATATTTTTTTTTTTTTTTTTTTTACGGAAACAAAAGCAAATAACACACCCCTGCTGAGTTCTGGATGGCCTTAGTGGGAACAGAGTGACAGTTACTGACCCTGGGACAGGGTCAGCAGGCATGGGCCTCCAAGAGTGTGAATGGCTGCTTTGGGCATAAGGCTTGATTGTGTAATAATGTACAGATTTTCATGTTCTTCCAAGGCGTGTCCTCCCTGTTCAAGTTAATGGCGCTAGGATAATGAGAGACAGCATGAATCTGGGAGTCAAAGGTGTGGCTAATGTCTCAGGAAAATAGTAAACACTGGGACCGCCAAGACAGCCCTTAAAGCTGTGGAAAAGAACTCTAAAGACAGGAATTTGAAAATACATAATTTCTCAACTATGTAAAAGCATAAGGATGCAATATGATTTGTATAAGAGGATATAAGGGAACAAAGGCAGCTACACTATAAGTCAGCTTGTCAGAAAGATACAAAGACAGGCAGATTCCTGAATTCAATGTCAGCCTGGGCCAGATGGAATTTAGTTCCAGGTGTGGTCTGAATGGTGATCTTAGGACTAGTTCCTACCCAGGTAAGTTTATAAAGACAGGAAGATTTCTGAATTAGTTTGCAATGTAAAAAACCAAGGAAAATGTACTTGCTGTCTCCTAACAGTCAGGGGCTAAGGCGATGGAAGCTGATGTGTGGGATGATACAGAGGGAACCTGGAGTAAATAAATGAATTGATATGGAAACAAAAATCTGGGCTTTTGGTTTGCATGGAATGAGCTAGCAAAATGTCTTAGCAGTTCTTCTTTAGAATCTTTATTCCTGCAGGAGGGCCAAGCTGTCTTGAGATCTCTAAAGATCGAACAAAGCTCTTCAAGAATTTTTTTTTCAATGAGATTTTTGATTTTGGCTGGAAAAATTCATGGACAGTAAACAGGTTTTTTTTTTAATTTTTTTTTATAATTCTTTTAGAATTTTTTTAAATGTGATTTCTGGTAAGAAATCCTAAGAATTATTTAGAGAACACACACAGCTCTTTCAGTATGTCTTCTAGAAGCTATCCAGATATGACTGTTTTAGTATTTATATGCCCTCATGCAAATACAAAGCTCATTTGAAGAGATTAAGAGGTTTAGGGTTTTTGTTTTAGGACTTCAAAAAAAAAAAAAGCTAACCAATTATCTGTGTCCATACCCAATAAATATTGATACTGGAAAATTAGATTTGAAACATCAGTAATGCTATATACAGTGAAATGATAACCCCAAAGACAGAGAAAAAAAAAAAAACAGGCTCTGGAATTACTGCAGACTGAATAACTTAATGCAAAATTCAAAACACTCCAAAATCTAAACTTTGTTTTTAAGCTTTTGTTATTGAGAACTGCAAAAATAAATACAATGAAACATGATCACATTTATATCCTCCTCCTTAATATGTCCCTCTCTCAGTTCCCATCAACTGCCAGTAGTTCCCCAGGCAGTGGTGTGACCTACGTATCACCCATCCCAAATATGAAGGAATTTGGCTGGCTTGCTTTTATGCATGTTTTGTTGAAGTAACCACAGCTGTTCATGAGTGTGCCAGTCATGTCATCCCCAGAAAGCCACATTTCCTAGTGTTTCTCCCCATTCTCCATAATTTATCTTCCCGGGAATGGGTGGGTCATCTGTATCAATTTCACACAATCCAAATGAGGGAACTCAAATGGATGAGGGGCCAGAAATAATGTATGACCTGGCAGACTGAGGGGGTAATGATGAAATGCTTACTTCTGAGTATGACATGGCCATTGCATGCACTGACTCCTAACAGATATGATTACCTATACAATATCAAGCCAGTCAAAATTACAGCATGGCAAGAAGAGGGACCCAAAGACCCTATAACTACTGGATGAGTTACTGGCAATTAGCTCACTCATGCTGGAGTGGATGGCCACATACCCATGTACATACATACAGCACTAATTAGACTTGGGACATTATTATTAACAAAAACAAACAACCAAAAACTGACATAAAGTGGAAAGGGAGTCAAGGTTGGGTGATTCCCGGGAAGTGGAGGGAGGTACAGTGATGAATGGATATTATCAATATACATTGAATAGATGTATGAAACTTTTGAAGAGTATACACACACACACACACACACACACACACAGTTGTCTTATTCTATTTCTTATGCTGTAACAACATATTGTGTTTAAGTACTTGTTAAGAAAAAGAGGGTTATTTGGGCTCAAGATTTTGGTATCTAGACCAAACAGCATGGTGCTTAGAGAAGGGCCTCTGGCTTTGTCCCATTATGGCAGAGAAGGGACAGATAGATAGTGGAGTGGTTATGCATGTAGAGATGATTACAGCACATAAACCCAGCAGCTCACAACTGCCTTTAATTTTAGCACCAGTAGGATGTGACACTTCTGGCCCCTGTGGGAACTGGAAATCATGTATATTTGTTACCCATATACACACAATTAAAACAATAAAATAAATGTTTTTGTTTTCTATAAAAGGTTAGTATGGCAGAGAAGCAGAAAGCAGACCAGCTGTGTGGAGAAGGGATTAAGTTGTGTGTGGATTGACTCCCTACACAACAATCGATTCTTACAAGAATTAACCTGGTCCCATGAGACCTGACTGGTACTCAAGAAACAGCACTAATCCTTTCTGAGGATGGTGTCTCGATCCTGACACCTTCCAGCAAGTCCCACAATTAGAAGTTCCCACTTCTTTTAACAGTGCCTTTCATAACAGACTAAGTTTCTAGCACAGTAACCTTTCGAGGGTAATCCAAACCATGGTAGAAGTAATGAAATGTTCTGAAATTACCCTTCTATACACCAGGTAAATGTACTATAAGCCACTCAATTGTATATTTTTTAAAATGATTCAAACATTGTTTTGTTTTATAACAAACTTGACTGAAAATCTTGCTTGAGTCAGTAAATAAATTCAGGCAGGGCTGATAGTGGCTTACCTAGTGAGGCCAGGTTCTTCCAGTTTTCCAGCATTACGTTCCTGTACAGAGTTCTTTGTAAAGGATCCAACAGAGTCCATTCCTCCTGTGTGAACTGCACAGTCACATCTTCGAAGGACACCACTTCCTAAATCATTCACATATTACAGCTTAGCCAAGGATCCCACCAAAGGGATGGAGCAGAGAGCCGAAGATGGCAGACCCACAGATGGGAACCCAGAGCACAAGACATATGGGCAGGTTGAATCTGCCTTGGCTGCTGGCTTTGGTGTTCTGGTTCCTTTCTTGTTCACTGCCCTGTCTCCCAAACTCCCTTCCATTTTTCTCTCTGACTGTTTGCTACTAAAATTTCACTTCCTGGGGCTGAGCACAGGCCTGGGACAATCTACAAAGAGGAGAAAAATTTGTTACATGAATGAATAACTTCCCCATGGCTATGATAAATTGCCTGAAAGTAAGACATAGTCAAACCTTTACTTGACCTCTCCACAAACTCTTAGGAAGTATATGATGTACATAGAGACTCTGGAAGGAGAGTTGAAAAAGCAGTCCATGTTGATACAAGAGACATTTTCTGGGATAACTCCAGGCCCTTGACAGATGTCTGAGGATACTGATTGGACTGTATAAGTCTCTAAAGTAACAAGTTTATGGAAGGAGTGAGTTGGGAAAAAAAATAAAGATTTGACTTACCTGTAACAAACTTGTCAAGAACTCACTGGCTAGCCCTTCTTCCCCCATCTGTCCTTTCTTAGGAGACAGTGGGTACAGAGAAGACTGAACTGAGGAAGAAAATATAAATCATGAGAATCTAGGATATCCTAAGATTCTCTGAGGTTAACTTATCCACCTGAGACTGACTATATATAACTACTAACAACTACAACATGTGTGTGTGACATACAAATAGCACATTCCTCCAGCCTTGCACAAATACTCGGTTACAGCTTCCAAAAGCATGGCATAATCTTGTTTCAACTGAGCTAAGATATTTGGTACCTGAGTCTGCCTGCATATGAGGAAGAGAACATATCCACAGATGAGGAAATTGGTGTTCTGCAGTCATCTCCATTTATTCCAGGAACAATTAAACGTATACCTCAAAAGAGACCAAAATATTCAAAATTATAATGAAGATGGCACATGCAATACCGAGCAGCTACACCCTGTCCAGCTGTCTATCATATCCAAGGACCACTGGGCTCTACTCTTCCCTTACCTGCTAGGCCTGAGCCTCCTTAATTGCTACCCAGTCCCTACCCCTTTCTGAACTGAACTGTGCACTTGGGGCTTCTGAATCTAAGGCCTAGCTCTAAGGGCTGCTAGGACCCAGTGACTTACCATATATTATGGTAATATATGACTTACCATATATTAGAGGAATGAGAGTTGCTGCCATCCTGATTCCAATATCAGAGCTCTTGAACACAGGGCAGTAGATGGGCCAGATATACTTTTGACTCCCACAGAAACCCAGGACAGCACTCTACAATCAACAGAAGATAGAAAGTTTACACAGCCCCTCTCCTTTCCCAGGGGTGTTGAAGGGTGAGCCTTTTTCAGCTTTTCCATCTTTGCCTTCTTCAAAATACACATTGTATCTTCTTCCCTCAGGCTTTATTCTGCTTGGCAGGTTGTTTATGGGGTAGTAAGATCTGTTCTCTCTCTACACACTCTCTCTCTCACATCAACATCAAGAATTCTCCCAACTTCAAGCAATCAAGCAATTCTGAAGTCCTTACCAGCTAGGAGTCTATGCATTCGATTCACCTCTAGCATGATCTGCTTGAATACACTCTTAGACGTGCACCCATATCCCAATTTTAGATGGCACTTGTCACTCAGTGGGTTTCCCTATGCTTTTGACCCAGTGGCTATAAATGGAGTTCCCATGATTCCTTTCTTGGATTTGGTTAGCTTTCTTGAAAGATTCACACAGCCTGGGAAACACTTTATTGGTGGAGTGAAGGGATTTCTGTCTTGACTTGCTAAGACTCATGAAGTTCTAAAGAAGGCTTATTAAGACAGTGGAAATTCTACGGGGAGGCTCCTTAAGTATAGGAAATAAACAACTCAGGAGACATTTGTAAAATGGGAGCAGATTTACAAGACCTGTGTCTCTTCAGAGTTATATTATCAGTAAGGACTGCTAAGAAGACAGACTAGACTAGCTGCCTGAAACGGATCAGACACGCAAAGCTGCCTGGATCTGATATTCTGTGAGCTATGGAAGTTCCTGCAAGTAGTGTCTTGAGTTCCAAGTATTAGTGATCAATCACCAATGTTGAGGGTTACTTTTGGTGATGCACCCACTCTTGATGGTCTCATATTATCTTTTTCCTTTAAATTCTTCATCTTGCCATTCAAACCAGGTAGCATCCTCTGTCATGAAATAGCCTTGCGCCTAAGTATGTTTTATTTCTAGTTACAGTCCAGTCTGCTTCCCTATACTTGCCAATATTTCTCATAATGTCTCCTTTTCTCTTATCCTACTTGTTCCTCACATGGTAACATCTACTGTTCACCACTTCCATTGCTGGAACAATACCAGTGAACTAATGATGACGACTATAACTCGGACTACTGTCACTTGGCATTATCTCTCGTCTGTTCCATGAACAAAACCACAGAAGACTACAGGCTTTGCTGAGGACACTTGGAAAAGCGTTATCATACACATCTGACCACAGCTCTTATGAAATGAATCTGTTAGCATTTAGTTTTTATCCTTTCAAACCCATTTCTAAGAATTATCTCAATGATATTCAAGTATCAAAATACTAGGATAAGATTACTGCTTGTATTTATAGTAGCAAATAATTAAAATAATCATAAATGAGTTTGGGGAGATAGCTTAGCATGTAAAGGCACTTGCTGTCAAACCTCACAACTTTTCTTTATCCCAGGGATCCACACAGTAGAAGATGAGGATTAGCAAGCTGTCCTCCTACCAGATACTATGGCACATAACAGCCACACACAAAAATAAATAAATGTAACAAAACAAACACAGGCCACATAGTAGTAGTGAACAAACTTTCCAAACTGTCCTCTCACTTCCACAGTAGCACACATAAAAATAAAAGGTAACTAAAAATAAAAATAAATAAATAAAAATAATTATCAAATGGGAAAGGTTAAATAAAATTTTAGGCTACCTCCATAATGAAGAAACATAAAGCAGAAACAACACAAAAACGAACCTGAAAACGTCTCTAGGTACTGACAGAAATTATCTCTAATTTAAATGGAAAAAAAAATCAAGGTACAAAGAAAGTAGTAAATGTATATATGATGATATATGAATTTTTTATAGGAAGGATGAAATAAGCATCATAAAGGCAGCTTCTTAGGGTTTGGTTGATTATGAATCCAAAGGAAAGCACTATAGGGTATATGGTGCAGGGACAGAGCATAAACACTTACGAATAAACACAAAGTGCTAAGATAGAGTTTTAGGGAGTCTTTGGCTCCTGGGCCTGTTCAGATGATAGATTCATAACTCTTCTCACACCTAACATGCCTCACTTTTAATCTGCAGCATCTACAAGTATGTCTCCATACTTTGCAGAAGACATATGAAGATATAAGAAAGGTAATAGCTTTGAGTTTGGAGATTATCCTGGGTTATACAAATTGATATATACAAGAGGGAAAGAGAATGGAGTCACAATTTGAGATCTGACAACAAAAAGCATAGGAGTGAAAGAAGGTGAGGGATGTGGGAAGGGAGACAGAACAGCAAGAGACAGGAGGGGATAGAAAGAAAGAGATAGAGACAGGGTGAAAGGCAGACAAATACAGAGGCATAGAACGGTGAAGTTCCCACTTTGATGGTTTTAAAAGTGGAGGGTGATTGCCAGGTATAGTGGTGCATACCTTTAAGCACTCAGGAGCAAAGGCAGGAGAATCCATGAGTTGAAGGCCATCCAGGGCTTTATAGAATGAGACCCTATACTGTGTGTGTATGTGTGTGTGTGTGTGTGTGTGTGTGTGTGTGTGTGCGTTAGAGGAAAGAATCTCAAATCAAGGAAATGTGAATAGTTTGGGTAACATGGCAAAGGTTTTTTCAAAAGCTTGGAGGAAAGCTGCCAGAGGCACTTAGAAATTCTAAGCTCCAGAACTTAGAGAGAATGATGTTTCTATGTCATCTGAAGACATTGTTTATAGAAATTTGAGATACTAGGCACTATTATCTTACAAACCAATTACTACTCCTTTCCTCTGCTACCTCCTTAGTTTCAGTCCTCACTACTCTCGTCTTTGCTGTCTTATTCATTAGAATGTACATTCCATGAAGACAGGACAAAGTCTGCTTTGGGCCTCATGAATTAGACCCAGGGACCAGCTCATGAAAGTGACCAACTGTCCTAGATTGTCCGGACTGCTCTGAATCCTCAATGTCCTCTGTTCTAGAAAATTCTTCAGCCTTGAATAAAATGAGGATCTTGATCATCCTAATGTGTGTAGTAATGAATATCATTACATAATAACCAAATATTCCCATAATATAATTACAGGAGAGCTAAAATAAAAAAATGGCAGAAGTAGGAATGCAACTCAGTAGTAGAGCTCTTGCCTAACTTGTCCTCAACAAATGTTCAATGCCCAGCTTTGAATAAAAGAAATCAAATACATACAGCTAATAAATACCTTTCTGCATTATAAAAAAAATCATAGTGCTATTTCAGAAATTCAGAATGCTAAATTCCTATTAGGAGGAAAGGTTGGAAGGACAGCCTTGTTCTTTGATACTCTTCTAAATCTTTTCAATCTTATAAATATCTAGTAGCTAATCTACTCCATTTTTAAATTTCTGATACTAATGTAAGGAAACTCAAGACATCTTTTTCATACACACTCCTTTATTCTAAAACTTCATGAAGATTTACAGGCTTTTTAGAAGTCACACAGAATGCTTGAAGAAGGTCATTGAATAGTTCTAGCATTTACTACAGACATGTAAGTACTGAAAATACATATAAATATCCCATATATTTTTACTTAATATAAAATCCTAAAATTTTTGGTATGTGTATATACAAGAAAATTCAGCATTTATATGCTTATTCATAGTCATGGATAATTATGCTTATTTTGTGTAATTTGCATTTAACTACATTTACTTATTACACACCTTACTATCCATCCCTTGAATATAATCTATCAAATATTAATGCAGCTTCTTGAGGTAACTCTTATTTTGAAGAGGTTACATCCTTAGAATTACAGCCTGTTACAAGCAAAAGAAAAGCCCTATAGGAGGAGTTCCCTCCATACTGAAGGATCAGCTGGAACTCCATTACTTCACATTCCACACTGTACTCACCTGGTTACATGAAATTAATAGATTAATGAGGATAGGTGGACATTGAGGCGTTTTCAACACGACATTGAGGTTCCAACACAAATCTGAGTTTGCATGATGTTTTTCTTGTCTGGAAAATAAGGCACAAAGATTGATGCTGAGTCCTTTTACAGCAAACATCCAAACTGTGACAGGAAAAAAAAAAAATTCATACCCCACCGTCCTCCACGTGTTTTTGGAGACTAAAGGTGTAATAAGAGCCCAGATTTTGGTTGGGAAAACGAAATTACCTGATATCTATTCAGGCACAAGCTCAGCAGAAGCTGGGATGACGTGTCCATTCAATTCTTCAACTTATTGACTGGAGACAGATCTTTTGGTGATTCCACGTGCAGTAAACAAGCCTTGTAGTTTAGAGGTCCTAAATGTGACGAGGCTGAAGTTCACAGAGCTTGAATGATTTCCACCCTAGCACAAGTGCTAATTTGCCCTGAAGGCAACTTGCAACTCAGGACCTAGAACAGGGCCCAGGATCTCCACTCTAGGGCTGACAGCCAGCCACGCCTCCTGTGAGAACAAAAAGCATCCCCAGAGCTGTGAGCGGGAGGAGCTCCGGTTTTATCGCTGGCTGCGGAAGCAGCCTGGGGCTTCCGGGAGGTAGCAGGAGGCCAGGGACTCTAGGCCAAGGACGCTGCCGGCCAGAGCTCTTTCTCGACCCGACTAAAAATCCCAGAACACACTAAATCGCCCCTCCCAGCCGCCGAAGACGCCCATTCCAAAGAACAATCACACCAGCTTTCTGCAGCCGGATTTCTCCTTCAGTTTCACCCCGCGCTTCCACTTCCGGCCCTGTGCTGGCTGTCTCGCGATTCACTTCCGCCCAAAAGTTCGTCCAGGTTTCAGGGTCGGGTTAGTGGGGAGATTCCGCGTCCGGGAACCCCTCCGGATTGTAAGTGTTCTGCCCAGTTTGTTTAGTGACTATGTACGTAGTTGGATTTCGGGATAGGTTAGCCAAGGAGACCCGGGGCGGCCCTGGCGTCGGGAGACTGTTGATGAACGGACCATGACAGAACCTGGAACAAGCATAGGGGGGCTGGTTAAGTAATAGCAGGGAAATAATTCTGAGGAAGTGGCTGCAGTGGGGATTAGTTCCGGGACAGGATGATGGGCAGAGACAAAGCTATGAGGCAACTGAGTTGACTGTGGGTGGAGATTAGTTTCAGGGGTGAGCATATGGTAGTGTAGGGTGTGAGGTATGATTGCTACTGTCCCAAGGAATTTGAGACCCTAGTTGCAGGGATAGGAATCTGGATGAGCATGTGTCCTGTGGGGTGTGTGAATCCTGTGGTCCTATAAAAGATCATTCCTAGGGGTGCTACTGGAGGTTACTCTCCTTGGATCATGTCAGAGAAGTGAAGCTGTATAAGGAAAATTCTGACTATAAGAAAACTCCCAAGAAAGAGGGCGAGAGTTCGGTGACCTCAGCCCTCTAAGTACAAAATCGTTATTGGAATGGAGATTCCTGTCATTCCTGGGTGTAGTAAATAGAATTGGGTATACTTCAGATTGTCTTACTATTCAGAGGATATTTCCAAGCACATGTTGTCCTCATGACTATGCAGCAGCGGTTCTTAACCTGTGGGTCACAACCACTTGTAGGGTAGGAGGTTGAATGAGTCTTTCACAGAGGTCTCCTAAGACTGTAAGAAAATAGATTATTTATATTACCATAACAGTGGCAAAATTATAGTCATGAAGTAGCAATGAAAATAATTTGATGGTTGGTGGTCTCCACAGCATGAGGAACTGTATTAAAGGGTCACAGTTGCATTAGGAAAGTTGAGAACCACTGGTATACATTCTAAACTCATGAGAACAGGCCTTGCCCTTGTGACTCTTTACAGCTTGAATTCATATGAACTTTTTTCTTTTCTTGTTGAAAGGCATTCTAACTGAGGGATGTTGGGAGCCAACTCATAGCAGAAAGTGGCTGTCATCTTTGCAGCCATCTCGCCCATCTCGAGCCTTATATTTGCAGGTTGATACTTTTCCACCCTGACAAGAGACTTGTTTTTCTATCATGATGCCTACAACAGCTGAGCACACTCTGACTTGTTTAGTGTCCCCAGCTGCAAGACACACGTAGTAAAGTGTCTCCAGCTGCATTCTCCTGCTTGTGCTTATAGACCCATGATTTTCTTTCAAGAAACCAGCCTTGATCAGAAAACTCTGTTTTGGCTTCATTCTTTATGTCTCTTGTCCCTCCATCCCAACTCTCTCTCTCTTGTAGACTCCGTTGACTGAGCTGCACGGGCCAGGTCAGAGGAATAAACATTCCTGCTATACTATTGGGTATATACTAGAAAAAAATCAGCCAGTGTTCTAATTTGATTTCTACTGCTGTGATGGAACATTCTGACAAAAAAAAAAAAAGCCACTCGAGGAAGAAAGAACACCTAAACACAGTTTATCCTTGAGAAAAGTCTGGGCAGGAACTAAAACAATTAAAACAGGAAATGTAGAGAACACTGCTTCCTATCTTAATCCCTTAGGTTGCTTAGCTTACTTTCTCACACATCCTAAGATTTCCTGCTCAGGATAACACTGCCTATAGCATATGATACACACACACACACACACACACACACACACACACACACATCGTACGTTCTGTGTTCTGTCGGTTGAAATGGATTCATCTTGAGTTTAATCTCTTCTCAGGAGTGAGAACAAGGACCACAGTGCTGAATGTGAGCAGCAAGGCTGACTGGAGCCAGGATGATGACTTCAATTCCCAGGCACAGATGGATTTCTGTTCCTGGCTCCATGCTCCGTGTCTACTGCAACTATCCGTGTGCTACAAGCAATCATCCGCTTTCAGTGGAGACCTATGAAGGGACAAGAGTGGGCAATGAGTTGCCAGCAACTTCACCCTTTACCTTGTTGGGTTACCTGTGGCTAGAATAGGAATCAGCCTTAGAAAGGAAGGGACTTTTGGCATAGTACAACATGAATGAAACATTTTGTTGAGTAAGATATGCTAGTCATAAAAGACAAATGGTATCTATTTCTATATACAGCTGTCTCTAGGGTAGTAAAATTTGTAGAAGCAGAAAGTAGAACAATGGACACCCTAACCTGGGAAGATGAAGGAAGAGTTAGTGTACTCTTCCTACTGGGAAGTAGGAGAAGAGTTTCTATTTGGGAAATGAGGCAAGTCTTCCTGTGGAAGATGCCAGTGGCTTCACACGGTGTGAAGATACTTATACCAATTAGCCAGCCACTGAAGAATGAACAGAAGGTGTATTTTAATCTTCATTATGATAATTTTTAAATTAAAAATATGATCTGCAGCTACTATGAGGTTTTTCTGTCCCTGGTCGTCTGAGCATCCTATTCCCCCATCCCTACTGCCTTCCCTGCTCCTCCTCCTCCTCCATTTTTTCCTCCCCTTCCATTTACACTTCTTTACCCGTTTTATCTTCCTCTGTTATATATTTCACCAGCTGTATGCCCTCTCTGTGCCTCTGTCTCCCTTTCTTCCCTCCTCATTGGTTTTGTCTGTTTTCTATCTTGCACCCTAGCCCCAGCTGTACTGCCACATTATGTCCTGTCTGTTAGAAAATCCCACTTGTCACTTTTGTTTCCATACTGTGTATCTTTTGTGTCACCAGAGGGAGAATTACCTTCAAAGCTGGTGGACCATATAAGCTGTAGGAATTAACCCAATGACTAGGATTTCATGATAGAAAATACATCAAGACTTCACAAATAAACTTAGTTATTTGTCAAAATTTAAAAAGATATAGGTATGATAAAACTTGCCAACAACCTGAAGCATTATATGGACAAAAGTTATTTTTATATACTATTACAGAATTAATATTCATTTTATGTAAACTAAATTTGCTTTTAGGTGTTAGAAATTTTACATATTTATAGAACATCTTATTAGTTACTTTTGCATTACTGTGATTAAAATAGAGAAGTAATTTAAGGGAGGGAACGTTTATTTGGCTACAGTTTCAGAACGGTAGGTACCACCTATCCTATAGGATGCATGGCTATGGGATGATTGAGAGACAGCAGCTGTTTGCATTAAGTCAGACTAGGGAGCAGAGACAGATGATCTGGAACCAGAAGTGGTTGTAATGTCCACAATGCCTGTCCCCAGTGATTTTCTTATGCTAGCCAGAATCCTCCTGCTAAAGGCTCCATACCTTCAAAATACTGCTGTAAGCTGGGGACTGAGAATTCACAATAGAAGCCTATGGCAGACAGTTTAGACTCAATCCATAGGAGGTATAAATGTGACCATATGATCTTTTGATATATGTGTGCATTGTAAAATGTTGAAATCAGGTAAAATATACTGATCTCAATGACTTACTTGTTTATGCTGAAAATGTAAAAACCCTATCAGTTTTTTTTTAATACACAGCCATTATTGTTTCTATACTATTTACATTTGAGGCTTAAGATGGCTCAGATAGTTGAGAGCACTGGCTGCTCTTCCAGAGGTCTGAGTTTAATTCCCGGCAACCACGTGGTTTCATAACTATCTATAATGAAATCTGGTGCTCTCTTCTGGCTTACAGGCACATATGCAGGCAGAACACTATGCAATAAATAAATAAATCTTAGATACATTCTGGAAGTTTTGTATTTTCTGTTAATAGCACATATCAATAGATGAGTTGAATTTTATCAGATGTATATGATCTCTATTCATGTTATTTATGAACATAGTAATTCATTTGAGAGGCTGAGGCTGAGACAAGATCGTTATGAGTTTGAGGCCATCCTGAGCTTCATAGCAAGTTGAAGGCCAACAAAGGTTATATGGAGCCAGAACTTATTCCTCCTGCTCACTCTCCGCAAAACAAAACAAAATTAACACATATACACACCCACCCAAGTTGTAAAATAGATTCACATCTCTGAGTGGTTCCAAGTTCTTTCCACTTCAAGATTATGTAAAGCATTCCTTTCGGATCTAATAACAAAGGGTCATTGTGACTTTTCAAGAGAAAGAGCCACAGAATGATGACAACATATGAAGGTTCCAAATAGTCCAGGGAGCTGGTTAGAGGTAAGATGTTACAGAAAAACATAATTCAGAGCTAATTCAAGGTAAGATATTGCAGAAAAACAACACAGAGCTGGTTGAAGGTAAGATGTTACAGAAAAACATAATACAGATGTCTCCTTCTGCTAAGAGGAAGGGATAGTGAAGGTTAGGCAAGGGATTTCTATATAGTTCAGAGAACTGTACATATGATCAAATACCAAAGGAAGGATTCCCTAGAAAAAGACATCGAAGATAGAGGGACTTCTTGGTATACTGTAGAAATAAGGTTACTAAACAGGAAGATGTATGGGGAAAGGATCTCAGATTGGGAGATAGAAAATATCAGCAGAATTGGAAGAAATTTAAAACAGATTAAAATATGTGAAATTATGCCAACTAGATCCCTAAAACTTCAGCCTAGATTACAGTTTTCTCAAGAAGTACTGGGAAAGTTTTAAGAGGACTTGAGTGTGTAAATGTGTGAGGGTTTTATTTCTCTGCTTTGACTATAGGTATAAATAGCTGCCTTAACTTCTTGCAGTAATGGACTACAATCTAGAATTGTAAGCCACATTAACTCCTGTTCCCACCCATTGCTTTTTTCAAGGTATTTTATCACAGCAACAGGAAGTGGAGCTAGAAGTGGAAATGACAAAATGTAGAAATTGAGAAAATATCAAACAGGCTTAAAACGACTTCACTGAGTCAACTGACTAGCATAAAACAAAAGGAAAATGCCCAGGCATTATGATATTTTCCATGTTAGTGTTAATATTTTTGTATTTATAGTAGCACCAAAATAGTATGTTGTGTGTTTTCTCTTCCACCTTATAAAACTGGCCATAGCTGTGGAATGGTGATGATGGCAATCTTCCAGATTTAAAGTTTTACAAGATAGGTAAGATAAATGGAAACCAATGGAACTATTGAGATCACAGACCATAGAAGCAAATATTGATGTGGTATCATTAGGATCAGCTTGGATAATGGGTACCAAAGCCACACTGGAAGAGTAGGGTCTTATATTTTGTAATATAGTGGGTCACTATAATTCACAATATTTCATACATATCATAAAGAACTAATAGCAATTTGAAGCTTCCTAACACAAGAAAATGGTAAATGTTAAAATTGTAAAAATGCTAAAAATCTTTATTTAATCATAATACAGTGTATATATGAACCACATGATCGTACTTATCTGTGAATGCTTGTACTTTGTTAATCCGAAAGAACACTTTGAACAGAAGTCCAATTTTAGACTCAGCCCAGATGTCCATTATATGAATGGATAAAGAAAATGAGGTATATATAGACAATAAATTTTTTTTTATATTTGAAACAGGATTTTATGTTGTCCAGGCTGGCCTCAAACTCAATGTTAAGGATGCCCTTAAAATTTTGGTCTTCCTGCCTTCATTTCCCAAGTGCATATCATTACTGATCTGTATCACCACATTCAGTTTTATGGAGATGAAACCTAGGGTCTTTTGCATGCTAGGCAAGCACTCTGCCAACTGACCTCCATAGCTGGCCATATTGGAGAGTGATATTGTGCCATTTGCAGGACAGTGGATAGAACTAGAGATCATCATAATGAGGGAAAGAAGTCAGATTTGGAAGGACAAATACCAGGCTCTGGAGATGGCTCAGCAGATAAAACATGTCTGTGCAATTATGAGGAATTGGAGTTTGAATTCCCAGAACTCACATAAGAGCCAGCTAATATTTGGGAACATGTAGATATACAAGTATGCATGTAATAACAATTAGTGAAAAAAGAGGTCAAAAATTTAAAAAGCAAGGAGGAGCATATGAAGACCTTGGTGGGAAGAAAGGGGAGAAATGATATAATTAATCTCAAAATAAAATGAAAAGAAAAAAAAAACAGGCAAGTGTGGTGGTCACCTGTAATCACAGCTCGGGGGCAAGCTGGCTAGCTAGACTACCCAGAATTAGTGAGGGTCAGGTTCAATGAGAGACTTGCCTCAACAAATAAAGTGGAGGTCCATTGCAGAAGATGTCTGATATGAACTTGAGACCTCCACAGGCACACATGTATGTGCACACACTCATGCAAACACATAAGCACATATACATTCTACCCATATGCATGCAAAAGAGATGACAAAATATCATGTTTTCTCTTACGTTGAAACTATATATTTAAAACAATTCTAACATTTGTATTCTTTTTGGTTGGGGTGGAGAGGGCTCCAGATATGTGTACTTTGACAAGCATATGGATGTCAAATGTCAGCCCATGGGAGTGGATACTTTTTCCTTTCACCATGTGGGTCAAACTCTGGTTATCAGGTTCAGCAGCAAGGGTCCTTACACCTTGAGAGTCACTTTGACACATAAAGTGTGTTTTAAATAATAAAATAGAATATGACACAATAAAGGGAAACATAAGAGATGTAGAAGGGCAATGGGAAGAGGAGGAGGGAGAAGAGGCCTAACAGCAGTAGCAGCAGTGACTATGATCAAAGTACATGATTCATTGATCTGGAAATGCCACAGTAAGCTCCTTTGTGTAGTTAATGTGTGTTGTTAATAAAAACAATTAAATAAAAAAGGGAGAATGATGTGAAAGTCAGCTTTTGATTGTGAGAAATAGTAATGCTGTTTGTTCCATAAATTGAACAAAACTAGAAATCAAAGTATGGTAGTGGATGAACACATTTCTTTTCTTTACATCCTTCCTTCCTCCCTCCCTCCCTCCCTCCCTCCCTCCCTCCCTCCCTCCCTCCCTCCCT